CAATATGATGAGGCATCTGTACCCATCATTGGACTTGAGGTATATACCTGACTCAAGTTCAACCAATCAGATTTTCTTCCTGAAATTTGGAAGTGGAATGCAGAATTAGCTGGTCAGTAAATAATAGCAAATGAACTGAAGAGCTCTCATCTTCTATCCTCTGTAAAGAAGCAAAGAAATCTAGTATGCTGAGAGAAAATAATAACTCAAACAGAAGCAGCAGAAATAGGTGACCACAGAGAAAGAAAACTGAGAATATTTTCTCCAAGTCCTCATAATTATCTAATCTCTGGTCCAAGTCCTTTGGGAGACTTGATCACATTCTATCCCTTCTGTTCTCTGAAAGGCCTCTCTGTACATGGTAATAAACTCAAAATAAACTAAAACTTCATGGCCTTTGAAACCTGTCCTGCCTCATGCACACCATCAACTACCAGAGGTGGATCTGTGACAATAAACAGAAATAAGCTTAGAAGTGTTAGTAAAGGGAAAGATGGGCAAAATGGGACATGTCCACCTGGGCCTATATGTCTGGTCTGGGACCAAGGACTTTGCATTTTAAGAAAGCCTTCAGGGTGAATTTGATGAAGGTGGTCCATGAACCACACTTTAAAAACACTGCCTTGTAGGTCTAAACGAATAAAGAAAAAAAAGGCATATGAAGGAGCCTATTATACCCTGTTTCTCTAAGATACCCTGGACAATTTAGTACAGGAACAGGAGTGAGAAGAAAAGCTGTGAGGCAATGTTCCATTCCTTAGTGGGCCAGAAAGCACAGAAATCATGATTAAAAATTACTAATGGGACCGAGCCCGTGGCGCACTCGGGAGAGTGCTGCGCTGGGAGCATAGCGACGCTCCCACCACGGGTTCAGATCCTATATAGGACTGGCCGGTGCATGCGCTCGCTGGCTGAGCATGGTGTGGGCGACACCACACCAGGGGTTGCGATCCCCTTACCGGTCACGAAAAAGACAAAAAAAAAAAAAAAATTACCAATGACGTTCCACTAATAGGTAATAGAAAAGGCAGCATGGTAAAAAGATATTCCTCTGAAGAAAAAAGGTGACATAAAGACAGTCCCAGACCCAGAAGTAGTATTAGGATCCAGCAGAGGCCCTGGGCTCTACAGCAGCAATTTACAGCAGGGGAAGGAGTACTTATGTGAATCACCAGGGCACACACAGCAGGGAAGGAGGTTGCCCCCATCTACCCTGAGAGGCACTGCCATGATTAAGTCTGAAATGGTCCCAATGTGTGTTGGGGAAGACAAAAGATTGAAAATCACTGCTCATAAGCCACTCTTCAGATCCCCTCTACGATTCCCGAAAGCCAGCCAAAAAAACTGGAAGAAATCCAAATTCCTCAGAAGTAAAAAATATAAAAGTTGGAATTCTTAAAAAATTTTCCTTTAAAAATTGCTAGGCCTGGGCCGGCCCGGTGGCGCACTGGAGAGTGTGCCACTTGGGAGTGTGGCGGCGCTCCCGCCAAGGGCTCAGATCCCATGTGGAGACCGGTTCCGTCTCACTGGCTGAGCGCGGTACAGGCGCAACACCGAGGGTTACGATCCCGTTGCCGGTCCCCGGTATGGGCGCAACACCGAGGGTTGTGATCCCGTTACCGGTCAGTAAAAAAGATAAAAAGGAAAAAAAAAAAATTGCTAGGCCTTGTTTATAGTGTATTATTACAACATTACACTAAGGGTTAAACAGATGGATGAATGGCCAATGACCTAATCACCTGCACTATTTTTACACGGAAATCCAGTCCTAGTTCAAAGCGAAAACTTAACAATGAACCTTTGTGGTTCCAATATGCTGGTGCAATCTGTCTATGTGGTATATATTCCCTAAAACACCATGGCAAAGATCTACCATGACTGAGGTCACAGCTCTTAGCTGAGGAACTGATGATGATAAACCATAATACAAAATAATGTACTAAAGAAAGGCAACCATGGCCAAAGTCTCCAGAAATCACTGGCAAAATTGAAGAGAACTGAAAACTCCTAGCCCTTCTCTTAGCCAATACAACCATTATGCTAATGAAAAAAAAAAGAAATCAAACGAACTAAAGTAACAGGAAAAGGCTGCACATACCTGTACTATGTCCCAGTTCATTTCTACCTCCTCTTTAATACTGTTGGCATTTACTGGAAACTTGACAGGCTGCCCTTGAGGACACATTTCAGTCTTCATTTTCTTTAAAGGGGATTGACCAAATGTAAAGTCATCTTCATTCTCTTCCTTCTTGCACATACCTTCCCACATGGTGCTTGTGGATGGTATCTCTGTAGTGTTACTTTCACCGTCTAAGTTGCTGGCTCTGTTGGTTTCTTCACCAGCCTTCAGCTTTTTAGTCCTTGGAGCTGAAAGTGACTGAGCTGAGTTTTTCCGTCTTCTCTTTGCTGTTTTCAGAGTCTGTACAGTATCCAACTTATTTTTTCTCTCTTCCGAATCAACATCTGCAATAGCCACAGAGCTATTCTACCAAACCATAAAGAGAACACATGAGAATTAAAAGATAAAAACCAACTGCCCTGAAATATTACTCAGAAATAAAAAGGAACATATTACTGATACACACAATAACTTGGAAGAATATCAAGGGAATTATGTTGAGTGGGAAATAAAGACAACCTCAAAGTTACATACTATATGGTTATGTTTATACAATATTCCTGAACAGATTAGTGGTTGCCAGGGTGAGAGATAAGAAGGCAGGAGGTGGGAGGATGGAAAGTGTTGGGCTGCAACTGCTCCACTTGCTATAGCAATTGCTAGGGTGAAAGGAGGCCACACCAAATGGCGGCTGTTTAAGTTCCCCACCTGCATGGTCCACACAAGATGGCGCCTAGAGGAAGCAAAGGGGGAGTGTCACTTTTAGTTCCGCAAAAATTTTTATTGGTAGTTGCACTTTTCCGCGCTCATGATCAGTGCGTGATCAGTAGGCTAAGCATAGGAAAGTAAGGCGCATGCACATGTGGCCTTTCCAGTGATTGGCTCTCAGTGTGGAAATCCCTGCTTGCTTAGATATAAATACAAGTACTTAAAAGACAATAAATGGAACTGCTTAATGGAACCCCCACCGCTTCTGAGTGTTCCTTTGCGGGCTGAATAGGCGGGTGGTGCACTCACCCACCTTCGGGGATCCTTCTTCAGCTTACACCGCAGAGAGCAACTTATCTGGTCCTGCCTGGGGAGGATAGGGAGTCTGCCGGGGATCACTCGGTGGCCACAGCCAGGGAAATCCAGAGCCCAGGCCTGGCTGACCAAGAGAGCACCCCGACACATCTCTGCACAGCATGCATAATGATCTCTTAAAATATGATTGCCAGAGGGGGATAGAGAGTCTGCTGGGGATCACTCGGTGGCCACGGCCAGGGAAATCCCGAGCCCGGGCCTGGCTGACAGAGAGAGCACCCCGACAGGAAAGGAGGTGGGCGTGTCTATAAAAAGGCAACACTAGGGATCCTTGTGGTGATGGAACTGGTCTGTGGTGGTAGATACACAAACCCACACATGACAAAATTGCACAGAACTAAATACATACATATATACACACACACACAATTGAATTCAAGTAAAACTGGAGAATCTAAATAAGATCAGTAGATTTTCTTAATGTCAACATCCTGGTTGTGATACTTTTTTATAGTTTTGCAAGATGTTACCAGGGGGAAATTGGATAAATGGTACATGGAATCCCTCTCTTATTTCTTACCACTGCATATTTATTTAGAAATAAAGAGTTTAATTTTTTAAAATGAGTAAAGGATCAGTCTACCCATGCCAGAAAACCAAGATTAAAATTTACATCAAAGTCAACCATAGAGGGAGAGAAGAAAAACACTCACACTCATAAAACTCAACAGGCTACACTTGCCATCAATTCATTTAGGAGAGAGGACAGAAAACACAGAATGACAGTAGGGTAATGTCAGGCATTTCTCTTTAACAGGAATCCGCACAGCAGTCCACACAGGTGTCCAGGGACTATTCTCTGCACCACTACTGCCTCCCAACCCAAATGATAGCTCAGGTATGAAGGAACAAGACCTGGCACTCATTCTGCACTGGCGATAGAGTGGCAAATAAGATAAAGACCCTGCATTTAAGGAGCTTACAGTTTAGCAAGCCAGCCTGTTCTGTTACCTAAGTAACCCAGATGGCACAAACACAATAAACTACCAAACTAAACTTCAGTTAAAATTCAGTTTTCTCTCCTATCAAATAATTCTTCCAGAATTACTATTAAAAATTTTGGGAACTACAGCACCCCCAACCCAATGCCTACCTACCACCATCACCATCTGAACTTTAAAAGGATGTACATTAGAAAGCCCTCTGAGTATTAAATTTTTCACTCATAATGGAAAGTAGAGATATGATGATAAAATGACTCCCAGGCCTGTAAGAGCTGAAAATAATCTAATCAAATGAATAGGCATAACTAACAAAACTGTGTCAATCATGAAGGGAGTTGTCAGCCACAGAGAAGCAAAAAAAGGAGAACTGTAAAAGCAAATATGATCAGCCTTCTTCTAACCAATGTACGAAAGACAGGAAAGCTTAGCAGATTTTTTTTTTCTCATTGTTCAAACCATTCACACGGAATGGAATAAAACTTCATTCATTTTAAATTCCACATATAAACTAAAGCAGATTCTGAGTATTTTGGTCCCAATGGTAAGATAGCCCTGCTGTGAGATGGATACTTCAGACTATCTTAGCTTCATGCAATTAAAACATTCAATTGTCATTGCGGCAAGGACAGTGCCTAGACCACAGTAGGCATTCTATAATCCCAGATGGATGAATATATCTAATTCTCTTATATTCATCCATGCTCATCAAATGAATTTCTGATTATTATTTAATTCCCTACTTACTTCAGCCTCCGAGGAGAAAAAGTGCTGGTCATAAGAATATCAAATCTTTGTGACAATGATTTCTAACTATTAAACCAGCATTCTATTATTTCAAATTATTAAACCAGCACTCTAGTTGTATACATCACTTTTGTGAGCATGGCTGATATAAAAACACCCATAAGGATATATCGGTTCCCAAAATGCTGACAAAATCACATTCCTGACTTAGAAACCCAGTTCCATCCTTACTACCTGTGTACAGTGAGCAAGTCAGTTAACATCTCTTGCCACAGCTTTCTCACGTATAAAGTCAGGAGAATAATAGCACCTGCCTCGATGGTTGTTATGAGGATTAAGTAAGATCATACAAGTGAAAGGTTAATTAAGCACATTGCCTGACTAAAGGTGAGCACTCAAATATTTGCTAATACCACCTCATTACCACCACTACCACACCTACACCACCTCCTAGGAGAGGGAAAAGGAAGTAGACAAAGAAACACAGTGAATCTGACGGTAAATATTATTAAGACCCATGGCGGGGGATACCACTGCCCAACAGTTTTTGTCATTTACATGCTTTGTCTTACTCTGTGTGAGGAGAAAGTAGCATCACCAATCAGGAAAAGACCTACAGTGTTCCCTCTATCTAGCTACATACAGCACCTACCAGCTCCTCCTTAACAGCCACACCTTCTGAGCCATCAGTGATCTGTGAGGTGTTCCTCTTCACCCGAGGTACCCTCTTTGGTTTGGATTCCTTGGGAACAGGCTGCTTACGGCTTCTGGGGACTTTCTTTTGGGGCTCCCAGGCACTATCTTTGTCATCCTCTTCAGAAGCTGATGATCTAGGAGTAAATTGACAAAACAATTTCCAGAAAAAAATGAAGCCAAACATCAAAGGTAAAAAAAAAGAGAAAAAAATTAGGCTTCTTGAAAAAATGATAAAGTAGGACTTGCTTAATATAAAATGGAACGATATCAGCACAGGCTGCAAACAATTGCTAAGAATTAATTGAACCAACAGAAGTGATCAGGGACCAATGTAAAAATACCCCAAGTACACTATAAATCACAGGTCTCTCCATTCTCCTCTCTCCTAACCAACAGACACAAATACATTTGAGACACAGGAAATTATTTATTACCTTAAGTAATTTCTGGATCATGTCACACCCATAGTCAATGTGAGCTTTTCAGTTTTAACAGTGAAAAGCACTTAAGTTCCTAAGTGCTAATCAAATTCATTTAAACTGTATTAAGTTATTCAAATCAATGAAAGGAGTGGGAAACGACTCTAGGAAACACCCTAAATTACAGAAAAAGCCAGCACCAAGACCCTTTCAACTGCTTTAATTAACCCTTTTTTTCCTTTCAGAGAATGAATTTGTTTCCTGATTAGATTGGATCAGGTGCAGATATAGTGTTTTTCTAACAACCAAGAATCAAACTCACAGCAACAGCAGAGAAAAAGCAGCCATGTGAACTGTTAAAGGAATATCATGCTCCTGCCAACCCAGTTAATTCTATTTCTACCCTAACGTAAGAAGTCAATATTAGCGGGAAGGATAACCACTTCCTTCACCGAGACTAGTAAATAGGGATGTCTGGGTTTTTGAATGCTAAGTTCTGCCTGGAGGCAAAAACCTGATTGGTTGACTTCTTAGCTAAGTTATGCTCTAGGAGAGCATAATTATGATAGTTCAAAACACTGATATTCTCAAAGTGAGTTCTCTTCAGAGGTAGATGCTACTGAGCCCACGAATAAGCAAAACCCTTCCCCCGCCCCACCGGCAAAAAGACAAAAAGACATGAGAATAACAAAACAATAACACAATAGCAGTGGAGGTGAAAGGAACTAGAATTAGAAAACCAAGGAATTAGA